CTTGCTCCTAGTAGTAAGGCCAGGAGCTACTAGTAGCGTCCTTGCTAGATTTTTAGGGAGACTTAAGTTTTGAAAGGACTTGCGTTCCGTGGTTTCAAGCCGAAAGGGAAACCCGCAGTGCCTGCCAAATGGACACCCAAGGAAGTGGACACCCGGATAAATGAGCGTTGGCTTTGCAAAAGTTGCAGCTAAAGTGACAGGTAAAATGCCCCCATATGGGAATAAATATATGGTCATTTGAAAGGCCTTTTGCTTCTGATTCTGGGCTGAACTTGGCCCAAAAAGAAACACTGAAGAAGGAAGGGCTGCTCGATCTGTGCAACTGAAAGCACTCAGGTCCCACGCCGCAGCCTTGCTTTCCAGTCTTGAGCTTGATTCGAATCCTCCAACTTGTGCAGACTCGAGTTAGAGTTGCGTTTTCTTCTGCCCGCTAGCGCTTTCAAGTAGGCCGCCACTAGCTAGTGGGCGCAGGATAGCTCACGCTTGCACTATTCATGTGGTTCCTAGTTTATTAGGCACGTGATAGCCATGTCCTTCCTGAATTCAAAGTGCCCCCATAATGTACACTTACCCAGTTTAAACCCAATGCCATTGTCACACGAATCACTCGTGCCAAGGAATACTCTGTTGGGCCTTGACTTTCTGGCAAAGCGAATAGCAATGGCTTCCTTTTCCTGGTGCCAAGGGATGAAGGAATTAATGGGGTGATCCTTTGATTCTTGCGATTCACATTACTCCATCCACATACAATCAACTACTGCAAGCTTGCTTCTGATCGTCCATCACCTGGCCTTTTTGACATGCACCTCTGTCGGATTCCAGTTGGTCACTGGCTCAGGCAGTTTGGAGCAAATGCCTCATTGGTGGGTCGGCGAAGCTTGTGGACACAGGGGATGGAAGAAGATTGAACTTTTGTGGCCTTTGCTTTGTAAAAACCCTCAAAGCTATTGAACTCCTTGATGGTCCAAAGTCTGCTTGTTCTGTGTTGTGCTTTCCGCCAGCTTTGCTAAAAAAAAGGAGACTGTCGCAGCTAGAAAGGACCGCACCGTCTGTCGCAGCCTTGTAAACAACCACCTCCTGCTGCCTTGGGCAATGACGGCTTCTCTGCAGCACTCCAAGGCTTGGTCAGTGGAAAATGGTCAAACCTGTCAAACCCAGCATACAAAGAAAACGTATACAAATTATAGGTCGAAAAGGTCATCCCCGAGCTTACATAGACCGACCCGCTTCCATAAGGCGCAGGCTGCAACTTCTCTGCAGGGCTCAGAGTTGCGGAAGGTGATGGAGTGGCGAGGGGCTGTGCAGGTTGTCCAGGCAGAGGCTGGGGCTGCAGGGGCTGCCCTGGCTGGCCGGGCTGCCCTGGCTGGCCGGGCTGCCCTGGCTGGCTGGGCTGCCCGGGCTGCCCGGCCTCTGGTACCATATGGATATAGTGGTGCACCTGGTTCTGAACTTGGTTCTGAACCTGGTGCTGAACTGTGTGCCTGGGCAGCCAAGGTAAGGGGTCTGTCACATCAACGTGTTCAACACATGCCCCAAGCCACAGAACCTAGTGGCAGTTGCTCCTGCAAGTTTGCAAGTCTGAGGATCTGGCACTACATGTTCAATTGGGGCCTGCAAAAGACCGGTGCAAAGTGTGAAGTTAACCTAACTAGTGACAAGGATGCTACTCGGGGCTCCTGGCCTTACTACTAGGAGCAAGGACGCTACTAGGGGCTCCTGGCATCGCTACTAGTAACAAGAAGCTACTAGGAGCAAAGGGCACTAAATCTTTGCGGAAGACTTTGGGGAAGACTTTGGTTGGCGTGCCTGTGGGAGCCATGGCACGTTGAAAACTTGCAAGCCTCAGCAATCAGCCAAATTCTTGAAATATTCAGCGATGCTAAACAGCTAAACTGATCTAGGGACAGAAATAACAACCTGGGGCCACCCCAAAATCTCATCAAAGACATTCTGGTGGCTCGAATGCTCACAAGTCCAATTCAGCGAATTGGGACATAGACCATCCCAAGTTTGGCCCAAGCCGATTTTAACATGAGCTGAGCTGTGCCCCCGCACGTCTTGATGCAGCGCTGCTGTACCCAGATGGCAAACGACCCGAACATGCCTCAGCTCGTCTCAAGTAGAGATATTGCCATTCGATTGGTTCCTTCATGATCCCAAACTCCATGTTTGCTTGGACCAATCCGCCCTTGACCCATCATGCACTACCGAAAATCCCAAATTTGTGTCTATTTTCGATGTTCAATTCTCAGGCGTACCGGCATACTGTCAAATCACCAGAGTGTGGCAGGCACTAGTAGTGATCTGTTTCTATACATAGTGAAGCCGGCAAAGACTGGCCGATGGCCGGCTCTGACAAACAAGAAAGCAAGTCGCTTCCTCGCTCCCTTGCTTTCTTGACAAGAGAGCTGACTAGCATGCTGCTTCCCCAATGAATTAAAATAAGCTCACTGTCATAAAAGCGCCCAAATGTGTTCACGGATCTTCAGCAACAATTCTACTGCTCGTGTGTAGTCAACTTGATGACCACGCGAGAGAGCCGTAGCTCTGAGAGCCCTCAGCGACACGTCGCAGGCCACAACGTCGCACTCTAAAGCTGAGTCCAGCAAATCTTCGACGAGGATCATTGCTTGCTTCCACTGACTCACCGTCTCCTTGGAAGTGATTTGGAAGGATCCCAAATTACCAGCCAGCCCAACACAATACAAGTGTCTTCGAGTCTATTCTTAAGCGTCAATAAAAGTTTTAAGGACATGGTGACATCGGGACATGGGGAAATGGTATGATATGGTGACATGTGAAAGCTTCGGTTTTCAAAGCCAGTCCCTATGCTGCAGTCACAGAGCCACGGGACACTACTAGCTGCCACTAGCTTCTAGTTGGAACAACTGAGCTGGGCACGCATGCCAAGATCGCTGCACTGTGTGTGAAGATATCAGGGCTTTTGCCCTGGATCTGCATTCTTTCGAGCAGCGCGAGAGCATGCTCCCAGGAGTTGCCCTTTTCACAGGCACTCAGAGCAACATTGTATGTGGTTGTGCAAGTGAAGTTCTTCTCCTCCGCATCCATCAAGAGCTCCAGGGCCTCCAGCCATTTCCCAGCATTTTCGCATGCACTGATGGCCGCGTTGTAGGTAATAACATCACTTTGAAGTGTCTCATCGTGAAGTGTTTGGAAGAGAAAAAGAGCATATTGCCAACATTGACCCTTCTCACATGCACTGATTGCAGCACTAAAAGCTATAAAATCCGTCTTCAAGGTCTGGGCCTTTGGTGAGAACAGCAAATCAATTGCCACTTGCCACCGATTGGCCTTCTCGCAGGCGCTGATTGCAGCACTGTATGTTATGACATCAACTCGCTCTTGACGCTCTTCGAGGTCTGCCAACAAATATATAGCCTCTTGCCACTTACCATTCTTTTCACAAGCACTCATTGCAGAACTGTACGTGACCACATCTGGCTCGTGCCCCATGTCAATACTTTGGAAGAAAAGCATTAGGGCATTTTTTCCAAAACCCAGCTCTTCCGCAGGCACTTATTGTAGTGTTATATGAGATGACATCCGTCTCTGCGTGCCTCAGCTCCATCTCAGTCAGAAGAGATGATGCTTTTTGCCACTTTTCCACAGCCTCGCATGAGTTTAGCACTGTGTTGTACGTGAACAAGTCCGGCCAGTCTTTAGCGGTTGCCATCCTGAACATGCTCATCCCCATCTGCCATTGTGCCGCTCGTCCACAGTTGTGAATCACAGAGTTTAGAAGAAAAGCATCTTTAGTAAAGTTCATCAGCTCTGTCACTTCAAAGATCTCAACTGCTTTCTGCCATCCACTTGAAGCAACAAGGCCACTGAAAGCCACAATATTGGTCTTCAACCTCTGCTTCTCTGACTCTGAGAGCAAGAGAACCCCTATCTTCCACGAGCGCTTTGCAATTGCGCAAATGTCTGAAGTGAAAATAGCTGCAGCGGGCCCGCCAGAAGTGGCCTTTCGGGTGCCAACCAAAGAAAGCTCCTCTCGCCAGACAAATCGATGCCCCGCAACAGCCATCGGCCAACTTTCCGCGTGGAGCGACCGTGGAGATCTTCCTAAGGCTATTGAGGCACAGCCTGCTGCTAGAGGAAGGCCGCATCACGCACATGATGCCCAAACTTGAGAGCCAATCGATGAACATGAAAGGCAAGGATTCAATTGGAAGGATTGCTGATTCACGGCCAGGCTACATCAGACCATGGGGATGCCGAGACTCTCCCATTCAAGAAAAGGAAGGGGAGATGTGTGGCTTTGCTTCAGAGCGTTCTGGAAAATTGTTTGGCAAGCTGGGTGAACCTTTGAGCCTCTTTCTGCTCTTTGGGATGTTCCTTTAACTTTAAGTAAACAAATACATAATATTTATTAACTATATTTTATATATAGTGCATACAGTATGTCTTTGTCAGGAGTAGTTGGAGCAGGTCATCAGTCATCGCAGTTTTGTCTGTACCTCCAGCTTTTTGCAACACGCCACCTCCAGTCATCTGTCACCTCATCCTCCTAATAAATCCTCAGGGCCAAGATCAAAGGGGGCTTCAAGGCCTTCAAGGCCAGACATTTGTCCGCTCATGGCCTCTCTGTACATCTCCTGGGTAGGCGTCATTCTACGATCCTTCAACTCCACAAGAAGCGACAGACCCAACTGCCATGCTGCGGAAGTTGTGCCCAAAAAGGCACAAAAAGCATGCTCGACCTGCACTTTGTCCCGGTCTGAGATCTCTGCAGTAATCCGTGAAGTCTCTAAAAAATTCTCTGCGATGATCTGAAGCCCAGCTTCCCAAAGTGAAGAAGAAGCTAAAAGCGCCCGCAGCTGAATCTCGATGCTCCAAGTTTGGAAAGTGGGGTCGAAGCTTTTGGTTTTAAAATCCTTCAGAAAGCCCAGGGCTCTCTCCCATGCTCCACCTTCGACACAAGCAAAAAGAATAGTATTGTAATTTATGCAATTTGGTTCTTCAACAGTTTCCAGCTCTTCAAAGAGAGACAACGCCTGATTAGTCGAAGCAACCTTTCCACAGGCTTGAATGGCAGCATTGTAGGCGGCTCGATCTGGGGCTAACCGTCGTACATCATACTCTTCGAGCAAACACAAGGCCCGCTCCCATTCAGTGGCAGTTGCGCATGCACCCATTGCAGCACCAAAGGTCTTGACACTACAAGGCAGCCGTCTCCTTTCGAGCTTGTTCAACAAAATCAAAGACCTCTCCCATCGAAGTTGTCGTCCACATTCAGCAATAGCGCTTGTATAGCCATCAATGCTTACGCCGATGGGAGCGCTGATGGGCATCGCTAAAAACAGCAAATGTATGCAAATGTTCTTGTCACCCTGCGTGGCATGCTCCAAACTGGTGCTAAGGACAAAGCATGGTCCTCTCAGGAGTCCCCTGCAAAACCACTGCAAATTGATCTGCGGGTCCTGAGTCCTTAGAAGCATGTGATTCTCTTGGCTGCTGATGCCATCTCTGAGCCAAATGTGATCAAATCTCACATTCAAAGTCCGTGCGGAAGATGCTACGCTGTGCAGGCACATGAAATACGTGCAAATGAAAAGCCACATCTTGACACAGAGTCATGGAATGGGGTAAATGGGGGATGGCCTTGCAGCAAGCAAGTGCCCAATTGGTGCTTGCAAAAGCGGAGAACACCAAGCATCTGGCCGTACCAGAGAAAAAGAAGCGTTGGTTTTGGTGATCAACCTGCTCCACTGAAGGACCTTAGAGGATGCAGTGCACATAGAGAATAACATTAATTGTGTACCAACCTCGAAAAGGATGTGTATACTGTATGTGTTCTCTCAGGGCAAGGCCAATCCACGAGACCTGCCAGTGTGGCATGTCACCAATCAACAAGACTACACCCACTGGCTTCACTCAACTACACCCACTCCAAGTGTTTACTCTACTGGCTTCTGTGGGATCTGAAAAGGAAAGCATCACTCGAGAGAGCACCTCTAGCTCGAAGAAAAACTCGGCCACGCTCTCAAAGAAAAAGGTCACTGCCTCTCAGGAAGACTCTGGCAAGAAGTGACAACTCAATCACACGTGTCAGTCCTTGTCAGAAACTCAGATTTGTGACCGCATAAATTGCACAATGATGTGCTACTGTATCTGTATAACGTATTTTGGCCTCTCCTTGCCGTCCCTTTTCTGTTAGGTGCAAAAACTGATGCACTGCAGCGCACCACATCTCTTTGATCCCCTGAGGGACTTGTGGGATCCATAGGTTCTGGCCTTGCAGTTCACTTTGGATCCGAACGCAAATCCCAATCAAAAGTCCGTCTGAGATCCAAACACATTCAACCGTCCACTCGAAAACCTCAGAATCCAAGGTTGCTGTGTGTTGCAAGCCTTCATTGATGACAAATGCAACTTGTATACTCTGGATGCGCGGTTCAAGCCATCGTTTGGTTCCGTATTTGACACCACAGAGAACGTTGCAAGGTCTTGCCATGTGCTCTCCATCTATGTACATGAGCAATGTCAGCTAGCAGCTAGCCGTGTGTCTGAGTCTAAGCAACGCACTCTCCACCACCAGGCTTCTGCATGTAGGCCACAGAGTTACCTTTCAGCATCTTGGCTACTCCTATCGTTCATGAAGCTTTTGTCCAAGCTCTTCAAACTTCAAGTCACTGCCCAAACGAACACAAGTCTTGTCTGTTCACAAGTCCAACAAGAAAGAACAATGGAAAATAAGAAACAATGGAGCATTCATCGGAAATACAAAACACAAACATGCACCTTCTGTCGGATTGCCATATTGGTCCACCGTATAGTGTTTCCGGTAACCGAAGACAAGCACCCGCTCCTCAGCACTGACCAACATTGGAACAGAACACCGATGTCAGGAAAACTGGCGCACAAGGCTCTCCAGGCTCCATGTTACAAACTTGTGTGTTTTGGTTTACATACTCCCTATGAAGGTAGACTTGGCCCCAGTTTCATGATGATAAAGCTATATAAAGACTTGACTTTGCGTGTAGCAGCACTAGCCCACCATCAGTTGTTCAAAACTAAAACAGGCGAGATTCTTGGATGTGGGGAGCAATCTTTTTGGTTGCATAAGGTCCAGACTCTCAAGTTGTCGAGCGGCATGTCGATGTCCCAAAATGTGAAATTGAACCTCAGCTATGTAGGTCAATGCATCTGCTTCACAAGTCTTGCACTGCACTGCTGCACGATGGAACCAGGTCTTGGAGAAGAATTATAATGCTAATACTCGATTCATTCTAGGAGCAAGAACGCTACTAGTCGCTCCTGGCCGTACTACTAGGAGCAAGAAGCTACTAGGAGCAAAGGGCATCGCTACTAGGAGCAAGAACGCTACTAGGGTGGTCAAAACCAATTCCAGCTGCCTTGACCCACACGTTGACTCCCCCAGTTAAGGATCAATGACCCTAATTGTTTCCTTGTTCTGTCAGATGGCTTTTTCGAGAATCCTGAGAAGGTGACTTGGGTACAAAAACCGCGAAGCCATCAGGGCCTTTGAAGCTCGCCTGAAGCAGTGTGCAAGCTCGACCCTTCGAACAAGTCTGCCATCTGCAAATCTAAAGACAACAACTCCTTCTTTTGGCCGGCTACTTGCCCTCACGGGGCTACTTCAAACAAACTACTAGGGAACCTGCTACTAGCGAACGGACACAGCATAGCTCACGCTAGTCATTTGGTTCCTAAATTTAATTTTTATATAACAAGAAAAACAAAGATATCTTGTTGTGACAAAGCCAAATCAAAAAGCAACAAATGAATCAATCAATCTCCGTGCATCTCTTGCAAAATCCTGAGCATTGGTTTGAGCTGCACCTGCAAAACAACTATCAATTCCCTACCAGGAGACCTTGAACTTGGTGCTCGTTCCAGGCATCATGCTGATGGCGCCTCGATCCCAAGTGCACTCACAGTTACCGAAGTGATGATGCTGTACCACCCAGTCCGATTCAAGGGATTCAAGCACAGCTCCAAGAAGGCTACCCATGGCGGCTGCTTTATTGTAGGCTGTTCGCCCTCCAAACTTGCCATTTGCCTGCACACGGAGGCAAAGGATTAGAATGTTAAGTGTCCCTATTTTTTTCTGTAGGAACCAAACCATTACTGCGAGCGCTTCTTCAAGGAAACTTCCCCCGCCGCCCTAAAGGCGTGAGCTATCCTGCGTCTTGTCGGTAGTAGCTACTTAAGCTACTAGCTACCTCTTCTACTAGCTACCTAGCTAACCGACCTCCTAGCGGCCTCCCCCATTCTAAAAAAAAATAAAACAAAGAAACTACAGTATCCTTCCTTTTGCGTTTGTCATCGTTTGTCTCATTGTTTCTGATTCGAAGGATCTTCCTTTAAGTCGCCTGTGGATCACCGGGCTCATAATGGCTGGACACCGCCTGGCACACGTTGGACGAAAGGTCACATCGCAGCGTGTCGTTGCGAGCACTTTGCTACAAATTCGACAGTAATGCTAGTCATGTTTGTCTCTTCGGTCTGTTGGAGTATCTTCGAAAACATTGTGCCTTTGGTACTCTCTCTTTGGTGTTGGCACTCTCTGTTTTCGGAAGCCACCTCTCTCTATTGACCCTGCCTCAATGACCAAGTCGACACCCTTGCCATCCACTTGCAGGACCTGCAGTACACCAGTCTGGATTTGTCTTGGAGGCGAAGCCTATCTGGGCTCTCCGAACATTTTGGAATCGGAGATCTTGACTGCCTTGACGATCTGGCCCCTAGGAGAAGCACTGCATCGCACTGCGTGGGACATCAACTCCATACAAAGGAGAGGAGTTGCAAAATCCAGCAACAAGTCTAACAGCTTTTAGATCAACAAACACCAACTGCAAATATCGCGAATCCATGCAAATCCTTCAAACAGCAGACTCACATATCAGCTGCATGCTGCTTCAGCCTTCCCCAGGAGGTTGCTGTTGATGACGTTCCCCAGATCAAGAATCTCGTAGCCTGCTCGAGACCAAACAGAACGTCCTACCTGAAACTCTGGTCTTTGGATCTTGCAAGCAACGCGCCTCCAGCATCGCAACCAGGATCGGATATGAACGGTTTCCTGCAAGCGAAGTAGCTGCTGGCAATCTATCAAAAGCTAAGAGATTTGTCACCTCTCCCTCCCTTGCTCCTCGATCCCTCTCTTTCCCTTCCCTCTCTTTCCCTTCGTGTCCATCTCTTTCTAAGTATATAGTTATTTTGCCACTCCACGGCCCACTCAGCTCCGGGCTCGAACACTGTCTCTCCAGGATCGGCGCAACTTCCGTGCACCCTGCCAAGTTGATCTTTGGAGCAACTCATCAAGACTTCTTCCGGCTCAAAAGTGCAATCAATACAAGTAGGGGAGGAGAAATTAGCCATGCAAGACACTACCTACACAACTGCAAAAGGTTCTTGCAACCTGCCGTCTCTTTTAAATACGTGCTCAAAATATTTATCAGCGGCTACCTGGAAATTACCTTTTGTAGCATGTGTCAAACTCCTCAAGGTCCAGACCTGAAGACGCTGTCTGGAGTGTTGTAGAACTCCTGGCAAACAAAACATGCTGAAATGGAAGGGATGAAGCACAAAAACGGATGGAAATCAAAGGCGGCAAAAAGCTCACAATAGTTTTTTACAAAGTTCCTAAATGCCTTTCAATGTTCACCAAAGTCCAAATGACCTCGCACTCGTCGATTGCAGTAATGGAGTACGTTGCAATGTCACTGCCTCAGGTCAAAATGGTCCAAAACGATAGGCAAAGAGGTGGATACTCGGGACCAAGTTTGCTGTATTGGTCTAGTGCATGGTTCCTGCTTGGTTTAGTCTTGGGGGGCGGTAGGCCCGGTAAGCCAACTCCTCAAAACCAGCAAAGCCATCCTCAGCGTTTCAACACCAACCGGTGCGCTCAGTCACAACAAAATGCGACTTCTCTGACAAGTTCACGATTGTTTTGGTTTGTGGGGTAGTTTTCTCGCTTGGACAGTCAGGTGGATAGATTCCTCTGGTTGAAGTCTTTGTGGAGTTTCACTTCTGAAACTCTATTGTGCGGTTTGCGGAGAGGAGACTAAACGAAACATCAAAAAGAAGAATGCATGAAAAAGAAATCGACGCATGATACATCAATGATACAGCACAAACAACCTTGCCAGGAAGGAATCTGGCAGGGAATGGTACATGCAGAAGAAGCAGTGAAAAAGGTCTACACAAAAAAGAAGCAAGTGAGTGAGAAGAACACTATGAACTGTGGAGTTCATTGCACAATCGCAAGCATATCTGTTTGTGCGAAAACTCTAACTCACTCTTTTTCCTTCTTGAGTTAAGGGCTACA